TATATGGGAGCTATAGCTATATCTGAAACGATTTTCACCAAATTTGAAGTAAATGCTTCTAGGCTCAATTCGGTGGGAAGTGCCACAATTCACATCATTTTGGCTGATATTAGCCATTTGGTGTCCAATTAACCCGAAATCAGACGAAGATATGTATGGGAGCTATATCCAAATCTGAACCGATCTTGATAAAATTTGGCAGAGGTATTTCTGGGCTGTATCTGATAACTGGAACCAAATATCATTCTTGTGGAGTATATATTACGCATGTGAGGAACTTGAAACCCCAAATCGGATGAAATATTTGTATGAGAGCTATAGCTATATTTTATCCGATTTTTTCCAAAGTAAAGTGAAGTACTTGTTTCTAGGATGAATTCTGTCGGATGTGCCAAGATTCAGGTCATTTGGACTGATATTAGCCATTTGGTGCTCAATAAACCTAATATCGAATAAAGGCATATATGGGAGCTATATCCAAAACTGAAGCGATCTTGATACAACTTGGCAGAGGTATTTCTAGGTTGTATCTGGTATCTGGTTCCAAATATTTTTTTTTGTGAAGTGCATATTACGCATGTGAAGGACTTAAACCCCCAAATCGGATGAAACATATGTATGACAGCTATAGCTATATTTTATCCGATTTTTACCAAATTTGAAGTACTTGTTTCTAGGATGAATTCTGTCGGATTTGCCAAAATTCAGGTCATTTGGACTGATATTAGCCATTTGGTGTGCAATTAACCCGAAATCGGACGAAGATATGTATGGGAGCTATATCTAAATTTTAACCGATTCTCACCAATTTCAATAGGGTTCGTCCTTGGGCCAAACAAATCTACTTTGGAAAATTTCATCTCAATCGGATAATAAAAGCGATCTGCATATTGTTCACAAAAATACATGGACAGACGGACTGACATGCATAAATCGGCTCAGAAAGTGATTCTATGAAAATCCTCAAAACCTTTATCTCGCTTTTTTCTCCATGTTACAAACAAATGCACAAAGAGATAATACCCTTACCAATAAATGGTGTAGGGTATAAATATCTGATCGATTTAAACTTTTGGCGCCATAATTGTATAGCCATTTGGATAGGCGGCTTTGTAGTTTGAGATAATCATTCAAGTTCCAATTCAATATTTTTTTAGAATATTTTTATAAATCTAGCATGGCTTAAATCCTGATTTAAGGAATTTTCTTTTTCAATTTCCCTTCCCCTTACATTTCTTTCCCTCTCTCTCTCCCACTTGCCGCAAGTAAACTTTCCCAATGTAAATTGTAATATTTCAATGGCAAATAATGTCATATTTGAAGGTCCACATTTCTGGAAATATCCTTAAAAATTAATAATTTCTTTGTGACTTTCAGCATAATCTTCCTTCCTTTTTTTGGTCTCTGTAAAGCCTCCATGTTTTTTGTTTCTTTCGCAAATAAAAGGAACTACTTCCTTCTACTACTTCCTCCCTTCCCTGCCACTCCTTTGAATGGCCTTTTCACATTTCTTTATCTTGTATCTACGTCTTGAATGGCTTTTGGGGAATTTGCCAGTGAGAATATCACTTTGACGAATGTTGCACGATTGTCATGTGCTACAAAGGATAAAATCCTTGGTGAAACAGCTCACACACGCACACATGCAGCTCATAATGTTATCTTGTCAAAACTCATTGCTAATCCTAAACATGATTTTTTTTTGCTTTGATTTTGGGCAAAACAATGCCTGTTTGCCTGGTTCGAGACAGGCAGTTAGCTTCCTTAAAGGGGTGTGATCTCTGCTCGCCATGGATGGTGGATGGCAGGAAAAGATGAATGCCCACGGTCATGCATCACATATTGGCGATAAGCATCTAAGAAATTTCTAAGCACCCAGGAAGATTAGATTATTTTTAGGGGAGGGAGTTGCCGTGTGAGAGAGGCCTCGCAGGAACACTTGGAGACACCGGAATACCCTGAAGCCAGGGAAACTAGTTTGTGTTTCTCCCCTTCCTTCCTTCCTTCTTTGCTTTAATTACAAATTTTCCGATTTTTTTGAGTTCGATGTTGTGTTGTTTGGCAAACATGAATGCGACACATGCTGCATGCACCGGCAGCCTCACTTGGTGTCAGTGTGTGTGTGCCACATCGTTAGCAACTAATTTGTGCCAGGATCACATGCTCTCACACACTCACACACACCAGCAAAGAAAAGGACTTTATGAATATTCAGTGGCTTCGTGCGGCTCCCAAACGACATAATGTATCAATTGCTTCACGTGCTTCCTGAGATTTCCGTGAAATTTTCCATGGTGTGTGCGTGTGTGTGTCTGTGTGTGAGTGTGTTCGGGGTTCCTTAGAATTGCCAAAAACTAAATGGAAACAATGAGACCACCAAAACTCAATGACGAACAAATAACAGCCCTTCTCGCATCTTGTCCTTTTCGTGTTTGGTTTTTGTTCCTCCTCAAAGGCTTGTTAGCTTGATGGGGAGGCAGGCGGGCTGCAGGGAAATATGGGGTTTCCACAGCGCCGAAAACCTTTAACCTTTCCATTAGATTTTTATCTCCGTTCCTCCGGTGAGGCTGTGCTGTGTGACTCGTTAGGGTTTACCAAAATGAGATTCAATATCTGGCGATTTGCTTTCCGCAACAGCTTATCGCAGATATGCATCATATTTTTCCAAAAGGGTGTGTTAGCTACCTGAGAGGTTGAGAACAAGAAGCACGAAAGGAAGATGGGTAGGTAGGAGCCATGTGCGTTCGTGTGTGTGTGTGTGTGTGTCATTTGGATCACATCGATTATGTAACATAAATTAGTTGCATTTGTTGTAGATTTCTTTTTGATTGACATTCCAATTGTCAGAGTTTGTTTTGTTATTGTTGCCGTTGCTTAATTTCGGTATTTTAATGTCGCCGATCAACCTTTTCTGTGTCGCTCTGGATACGATTTGGTTGACAGCACGAAAGGCCGAGTGATCCTTCAAAGAATAGACGGCTGGATGGATGGATGCATGTTTGGACTTGTATAATTTTGACATTGTTTATGGGTTTTTGATGAGGTGCTAATAGGCATAATTTGAGGGTTAACACAACTAAATTAAAAATGCATTTGCACTGCAGCCACTTCTCAATTTGTGCAGCCCTGTTTGCAGGTCCACCATTCCAGCCGTGTCGTCTGTCAGTTTAGTCGGTTGTGACAGATTGTTTGTCATTTTTTTTTCGGGGGGGAATTCAGAGTTTAAAGGAAGAACATTTTAAGGCGACTCTGGAGGTAGGGGGTGTTGATTTTGATCCCCATTTTCCATCTTTCCAACAGATAACCGCCCAAATAGTTGGTTAAAGATCGTGAATATTGTACAAAGTTGTTGCTTGATATTAAGGTCTTTCAAGGTATTTGAATTTCAATGGCATCCTTTATTTTTCTGATGCAATTTTCAGTAATTTTTTGAAAAGACAATTCGAAGGACCATTTTTTGGTTTTGATGGGGGTTTTTAAGATCAATCGATCGATTCAGGATAAGATTTTAGGAATTAGGAAATAACTGGCAAATTAATGGGTAATATTTTTAAAAAACCGTCAGCTTCTGTGGGATCTTCAGGATTTTTAAGAAACAAATATTTAAAGGCTTTAAGGATTTTTTTTTTTAAATTTAGCTTTTTTTCCCATTAACCCATTTTTTTAGCATTTTTAGGACATATTTTCGAAAGGATTGACTGATCAATAGTTGCAGATTTTCACGAACAAGGCAACTTGAGGATTGCCATAATATTAACCTAACCTCAAAAAATGTATTAACTCTGGAATCTCCTGTGAAATTTCTCAAAAACTTCTTTTAGAGGTTGTGGGAGACATGAAGAGATATTTGCCCCCTAAGTACCTCTCCGCACAGGAAATTAGCAAACATCATTTATTGCACTCCGCAGGATGCAGTGCCAGCAAAATTTGGATTCTTGAGAAACTCAGTCCAACTCTCCATGCCATGGTAGCTTCTTTGGGTGGCTTTTTTGTGCCATCGAGAAGGGGTGAATCTTTAATGAGCCTCAAAATGAAACAAAGGAATGAAAACAAGGACAACAACACGAAAAAGAAACACATTTTAACAACGTTTTCATATTCTAAGCAAACAATGACAACAGCAACAACAACAAAGATGAAGCAAAAAAACAAAAATTGCTGTTTACAACACTCGAAATTTGTTGCTATTGTTGTTGTTATGCCTTTATCTCAAATTCCTTGACTAGCACACAAAAAAGGACATGGTTTTTTATGATGCTGCCACTGCTGCTGTTCCTGACGAATTTGACGGTCAAAGCAAAAAATGAAATGATTAGGACGTGCGAAAGTGATTTCATTTGCATGTGAATACAACGACAACAACAACAACAAGGATACAGGCTGAAATGTTGCTTCTTCCTACTAATGGAGTTCGCGGTTGGCTGTTGGAGGGGGTGGCGGGGGGGCTCTTAAAGCGCACCGAAATCTGGAACAAGCAACAACTGAAAAGTGTATCCGCTGTGTGTGGACCTTGCAGAATACTTTTTTTTTTTTGGCTAAACATTTCATGACAGCCACCACACCACCGCCTGCCTGCCTGCCTAAGAGCTTGTCGAAGAGACACTTTACGTTCGGCAATTCCCCGAAAAGGCGTAAGGCGTGATAAGTACCAGCTGAATGGTTGATGGCTTTAATTGACCCCATTAAAGCATAAAACCCAAATTTCGAAATTCTCTCTCCACCAAAAAATATTGAGTAATAACTTAAAAGAAAAACGCTTCAATGAACTTAAGTTTAGAACGGAAATAAAGGAGGATAGACTAAAAGGAAGTGATACAAAAACAACTAAAAGATAGCCAGAACGGACAACTAAAAGCACTACAAAAGCTACTAGATTTTCAGCTCAAAGCACATCAGCCGATCAACTAGGACCACTAGATGGGTGTATGGCGCCAAGTCCGTCTGGTTTTCGGAAACATTTTAACTAGAATTTTAGAAAAGGGAAATGTCAATTCAAGTACCTTGAGGTGCCAGCACCTTCCATTTGCTGTCGATCTAACGGCGGATCGAAAATTTGCTCGCGATCCTCTTTCGATAATTCCAAGTCGGCAAACTGATCCAATTCGGAAGCCATTTTTTCTGTTTGGTTTTTGTTTCTGTGTTTTTTCTTTGTTCTCGAGAGGATACTTTCAATTTGTAGGATGGTGGGGGCTGGCTTTAATCCTTGCTTTTTGGAATGCTTTTCAAACAAAAAACGCCGTTGCTTTTAATTTTGTTCTTTTGCCAATTTCAAGAAATTTCAATTTTGAATTCTTTGTCGAACGACTGGCTTTAAATTTTCAGATTTCTTTTGTTTTTTTTTTAATTTTGTTTATATGCCAACCTACAACGAAAAGAAAATAACAAAAATGAGAAAATAATAAATTAAATGGAGAAAACATAATAAACAATACAAAAAAAAAAAATACAAACAATACAAAATAAAAATAAAGTGTAAAATAAAAAAAAATAATAACAATTGAAAACGTATATATATATTTTTTTGAATACCTAGATTCCAAGGGAAAATTCGTGTATCGTATGGAAAGCAATTCTTAAGTGCGATTCCCTAACCAGTTAACGACAGTGATTGACGAGATTGAAGTAGTCGCTAAGACCAATCTATAGGTAACAATATCCTCACTACTTGAAGAGATGCCATCATTGAATATGGAAGGACAATATATTGAAACCATTTCCCAGCTACTTTGATGGGCTATCAGAATGGCATATGTTTTGAGGTCGTTAGATTAAGACATAGACGTGCAAAACTAACCAAAAATGTACTCTAGCGGCACTGGTTCTAGGCGTATTCTCTTTTCTACCTTTTTATCGGGGATTTTTGATGGTGAAGTCTCAGTTAATCTCGATTTAGTTCTGCACGTCATTGCATTAAAACAGAGGAGAGCGAGAGTACAGTAAAGAGAAAGTGTAATTTCCTCCGCTCTTTCACTTTCTTATCCCTGAACTCAGTTTAAATTTTCAAAATCTTTCTACTCTAGTTCTCAATAGCTCTCAAGAGAGCTGAATGAAGTTCAAAAACTTCAGAAGAAGAGTTAAATTGCTAGGAATGCCTTTTTTCAGAAGTTTAGTTTCTCTTAAGCAAAATTGTTTAAGTAGCGGCTCTCTTTCATAGGAAAGAGTGATATTCCAAACTTATAAAGACCTCTTCATCAACAAGACAACTGTTAAAACCGCATGCCACTATCTCCATCTCTCTCTCTTAAATAATATTTTGAACAAATTGGTTTTGATGCAATTTTCTCGGAGTGATGGGGATATGTACGCTTTCATGAATAAATCCAAGAATAGTACAAAAACGCAACATTTTAGTACAAGCAGTACACTTGTGAGGTAGGTAAGCTGAAATTGACCTTCGGGAACGAAAACCACTTTATTCGATTATTTTATGATCTCTGAATCGATTGAGGAAATTATCGTATTCTTTATAAAATAATTCTGTTGTTCTCTTGTGACCAGGATATCAGCGAGCGTTGAATGATATTCGTTCGCTTTCTACCAATTGATATTACTGTTAAAACATTAATAAATTAGTTTAAAACCTATAAATATCTAACAACATAAAAAGATCTACAAAGAGAACTTCATTCTAATTTCTTTAAGCATTTCTCTTTCATAATTTTGCCAATATCTAGCCTTATATCTCGAGAACTTTCACTCTCTCTATCTCACATTAACATTTCTCTCAAATGACTGGTTTTTTTCTTTTGGGGTTAAACAACGCCAAGTGTTTTCTGTTAACCGGCAATCAGTGTGGGACACCCTTCGGATAGATTGAATGACCTACCTAGATCTGTCACCAATTACAAATCCAAACTGACATGACGCCTTGGTTTCTCTTTCAGTCAATGAATGAAGTTCACAACTTCCGCAATCCAGCTCTCTCTCTATCTCTCCCTCTACACATTCCCAATGAGACTTTGAACTTATCTCCTTGGGCCTCCCCACTCTCAGTCCTCCCCCCCAACCCCCTTACATGAGGTGTAAACACAAACGTGGAGCATAGTAATGGAAAGCGACAACAACAAGAATAACACACATTTTGAGAGAATAGCAAAAAAACGTCTTTGGAATAGAAAGACGAAACAAAAGAGGAAGGCAAAGACGAAAGATAAAGAATACTCTTTGAAAAAAATGTGATATGTTGGCATTTGAAAAGACATACGAAAATGTGTGTGAAAACAGCACGAAAACAAACACACACACAAACATACACACACTCGCAAACACACAGACTCACGCTTAGCTAAACCAAAGTAAAGAATAAGGTGTATAGACAGACGATAGAATAATGAATACCTAAACAATAGAAAACACAAAAAATAATGTTGAAGCAGGAGAGGACGGACGAACGAGGAGGAGAGGGAGGAGGTGGCTATGGAGAGGAAGAAGAGGCCAAAAACAAGCAAGCGAATGAAGTCATTAAGAGCAGGAAAAGTAACGACGGACTGACGACCGACCCACTAAACATCTCACTGCCGGACTGGCCGGCTAGCACAGCCAGCTACTTGTAAACGCGGTGTGGAAAAAAAGAGTACCTTGCACCGAACCCAGCTCTCAATGTTTTTTCTTCTTTTTCTTTCGGAGAATATTTGAGCGAGTGACTGACGGACTGACAACAATCTATATGGCAATCATAATCAATGACAACAACAGCAGCAACAACAATATAAAAACAACCAACAGCTGGAGCCAGCGCAACACATTGTAGCAGTAACGACGAATCACAGAAAATTCGTCGTGAGAGCCATTACTAGGTTCTTCTTCTAGTCGAGATGTGCTTTGGCAATGTGGGACACCAAAAAAAAAAAAAAACACGAAACCCATACAGTGATGGTCAAAAGTGTTTGACAAATGAAATGAAAGCGAGAGAGTAGTGGAAAACGAACTTTTGGAACAATTCACAAGAGAAGCGCAAATCGAGTGTGGGCAGAGAGGTCCAACACCTTGGGTGCCAAAATAGGTACAACGAAATGATCTGAAGGGGAGCGCAAATAAAACGTTTTTTTGACTGGCTCAAGTCAACGGCTGGCTTCTTCGGAAAATAACAAAGGTGCGGTGGGACAAAATCGAATTATGTCAACCTAAAGAAGGAAGAAGCCAGTCATAAGCGTTGTATGTATTCTCACCTTTTGTTCAATTTCGGCCCATTACTTATATTTGTTAACCCTATGCTCCTTTGTTTTTTCTTTTATGAAGAAGCCAGCCGATCCGTTACTCCAGTCAAAAAGCTTAATTTTTCATAGAAATGGAATGTGAAAATGCAGTACCACTGAACAAAGTTTTTTGATCTCTCGAAATGTCGACTTTCAAATTTTTACTACAGACAAAAGTCGACTTCTAGACTTTTCAGCAAAGTCGGGTTGCGGCCTTGTTAATGTGGTAAATATATACTCCTAACAGATCCCAGAAGAATCTACAATTTTTGCAATGTTCCCCGATATCATAAAGGGAATATCTGTTCCAGAATCTACCAGCGTTAGGTACGTTACTACGATAACCGATTTTTTACTTTATGATCTCAAAAAAAGTTAGCAAAACTAGAAGTTTCTTGTGTTTTATATGCTTTGTTTCAGAACCTACAAGAATCTACTAGTTTTGTAATTTTTTTTCGATATCATGTAGGGAAAACCAGTTATCATAGTAAAGACGTTTACATTATTGCAGTCCTGGAACAGACCTAATATAACAAATGTTTTCTAATCAAACTAAAAGTACGTTTATATATATGAGGGTTAACCTGCTGGATTTGGATTTAAATTGTCATATCCATTACTTTTACTTCAAATAAATCCTCTCAAAGTAGGTTAACCCTACAAAAAGTTCTAACGTAAACATGGCATAATGGTATGTTCCAGAACTGCAAGAGGGTAAAAGTTTTTACTACGATAACCGATTTTCCCATTATGATATCGAAGAAAATTGCCAAAATAATATATTCTTACAGGTACTGGAACAATCTGCCATATTTCGTAAACCTAATGGATTTAAACGGCCAATTTTATTGCATATACATTCAAAAAAAAAAATCCTTGTAATGGAGATTAACCCGAAAAAAGTTTCTATGTAAACCTGATACAAGTAACAAATATTTGGAATAAAATAAAAAAATAAAAATATTGAAGATTTCCGTTTAATAAACGAATGAAGGTCCATAGATCTTCTCCAAATAATGTAGCCTCTGCGATTTTTCATTAGATAGGTTCTCTACAGGACGAAATTGCAGAACTAAAGATGAGGATACATGAAAAGCTTGGCATCATGGCTAGACATTTTAATGTCAAATTATGAGTGGAAACGATGCCAGGACTCGAGTGCAGCATCACTTTACGATGTGTCGCAAAATATGCCATGGGAAGACAACAATCTGCTTATGTACTCACACGTTAATGTGGTCCGATATTGGTCATTTTAAGGCATTTTTGGTACATTTTATACGGAAAATTTTACAAAAATTTTCCATTTTTGTCCCCTGCAATGGTTTCAGTACCCATTTCAGGTATAAAATGTGTGTGCCAATAAAAGAGAATCTGATTATAGTACTCCTTCGAGGGAATTGACGCCGGTTTTCGTTTATTTAAATATTATTATCAGTTAAAACTGAATTTCCCATATGTTTCCACGCTCAGACTAAGTACAAATAGAGAATCATTAGTTGGTCGGATACAATAGCATTTATTAACTGAATAGGGGATATTGCATAGAAAGTGTGAAGGGGGGGAGGAGATTGCGACCACCAAATTCCAATACAGCGAGGAGATTTACTATTCCCTCTTGTCACCGGCCTTTGACAACCCTTGGCTTTAGGCAAGTGCGACTTTGCGGGTGAGAGAGGTAAGAAAAATAGATTTACCCCTCTTTCCCACAACCTGTAGCACCTAAATTGACTGACAATTGCAGCAATCAAAATTACCCAGTGTTAACTTGGAAATGACAATTTTAAAGTTTTCCCTGGAGGACTTTAAAACAGCATCGTGCATCAACCTCTTTTACAATGTTCCATACTTTTGTCGCTGGCTGTAATCTAGCACGACAACAACCACAACAACAACGAGTAAATAGAGTACACAAATAACAAAAAAAAATATATGTAAAAAAAAGAAAACAACAGCAACAAATAGAAGAGAAACAAAACAAAGGAACAACAATAACAATTTATATATTAGACAACAACAACAACAACAACAACAAATAGTAAAAAAAGAAGTACAAAAACAAAGAATACATACATTTGTGTGTTCAAATAGCAACACAACACCAACTGCGGGAGAGAACGAAAGATACCAACGAATTTGTAGGTTCGTGTGTCTGTGTGTGTGTTGGTTTTTTTTTTATAAAAAATTATGTTTTTTTCTTATTTAACTCTGTGTTGGTAGTAGGTAGAGGTACCTCTATTTATTATATTTTAGTTAATTCTTTTTTGTTATGTTTCTTTAATTAATTCTTAAAATTGTATTTTTGTTGTTGGTTGGTCGGTACGAGTATTTGGAATCCGAAACAAGACAGACACTGCGACACTAAAGTGAAAATTTAGTTTTATTTTGGGTCAAATTTTGTAATTTTTTTTGGTGATAGTTTTAATTTTTTTTGTTATGTTATGTTTTGTTAATAATTCCACATAATGTTGGTACGAACTGTTCTTTTTTGGCTGCGTTCGATTAGAAAGGAGCGGATTTTTCGTTTTTTTTTTCAAAATACTTGGCTGAAGTGTTTCGTTTTGTGAGAAGTAATGATGTCAGCTTTTTTGGTTGCTCAACATTTTTTTTTAAAAAACTTAAAAAATTATTTGAATTTTTTCAAAGATATTTTCGGACGTATCTTTACACTTGACAACTTGGCAATTTTTCACAGAATTGGAAATTAATTTTGCTGTGTTTTTTGTTGTTGTTTTGTTTAGATGACACAATAGTTGCAGAATTTTGTTAAACAAAAAACAAAAATAAATAATTAAATTTTCCCGTTGTTTTATTTTTTTCTTTAACAAATTTTGGCGGCTTTTCTTGGGTTGCGGCGCGATTCGAGTGTTGTCACGTCGAGCTGAGAATGATAATGACGACGATGATGATGTTGCTGATGATGAGAAGACGAAAACAGAATGATTTCCAACACCGAACAGGCTGTGGCGCTGAATGGAAGTAGGTTGAATTGGTTTTGGTTCGGATGGATAGCCGTTAGCCGTTTGCACACTCAGCAGATGATGATGAATGAACACAACAGAAAAGGTGTTAAACAGAGAACAGAAAAACAAAAACGAAACGAAACAAATTCTTTGGTTGCTCACGGTTAGGAACGTATTTGAACACTGAGGTAGGAGAGTTACCAAAAGTTTGAAGGCAGCAGAACGAGCACCACCAGCAAGCAAACGTAATGTGAATCCAACACAGTCACACACTCCACACACACGGATACACGGCGCGCACACACACACACATCCAAGCAACCGAAACTAAACCAACACAAACGAACCTCAATTTGGCTGTTGATGCCGGCAAGCAACATTAGTGAGGCGACGAACGCATTTCCCTCACAGATACACGGATAGATGGAGATGGCAACAACCAGCCAGTCAGTCAGCCAGCCAGCAGAGACACCAGAAGAAATTACACTCGGCAGCAGTGTTGGCAATGTTGACACAAGGTAAGAACATGGATATATGGGCCATTTACAACAACAGCAACAACAAAAACAAAACAGCAACACTGTTCACACAAAAGCTTCGTCGTCGTCGTCGCCGGCGTTGTATGTTTGGCATGTCTGTGTGTTTGAGGAAACTATCCAACCATCCAACAAATTGCCAAAAATCGCTCCAAATAGCAACAAACATATGGCAGCGGACACCAAAACAAACACCATGGCAGGCAAACCAAACATGCGGTGTTCGCTCCAAAGCTTCCAACTCTCTCTCTCGCTGGCACTCCTCTCCCTCTCTCTCTCCCCCCTTTGAGTAGTGTTGCTGAAAAGTTTTGATACAACAATAAAAAAGAATTCCATCAAACATTTGTTTTTTGTGTTGGATGTGAAATGTTGCACTGCAAATGTGTGAGTATGGATCACACGCAGGCACAAACACACACACCACCACCATCACTACCGAAAGATATTGCCAAAATTTTATGTTTTTCCTCCTCTACACTGGCAACACTAACGACATCTACACTGGGGCTAAGCCCCTCTTTCCACCTACCACCTATCGGCATGGCTTCATTGTCGTTTATCACTCATTCGCTCTTTCTCTCTGGCCCACTGTCACTGTGTATGGCCCAGCATTTGTCTGTGTTTCATGTGAAAGTGAGTGAGAGTGGAGAGCTAGAGAGAGAGAGCGTGTGTGCGTTCTCGCCGGCTGTGAGTGTGTGGCGGCCTTTTCTTGTAGTTCTGTGACTTTGGATTGATTACTCATTCCTAATTAAATTTATATGTATAATTAATTGTTTGTTATGGACACTCTTTTAGTTTTTTTGGGGAGGTCTATGATCTATAAATTGCCATGAAAAAGCCAAATACATTCCTCCCTACCTTCCTCCATAAAAATGGATTTATTTTGTTTAGCTTGGTAGCTGTCTCTTAGGAAAAAAATAACAAAGAATTTATAAATTAATAAAATATTTTAATATTGACAACTTTCTCCTGAAAATTTCTTTTCAGAATTAGAAAACATTGTGGATAGGTAGTAATGAAATCAATTCTATAAAATTCAAAGAAAAACATTTTTTTAATGAAGATACACAGTTCTCAAAATTTGCAAATGGGATTTTTTCTTTTATTATATATTTTCTATAAAAAAAATAAATAAAAAAAAATTGGAAATTAAAACAAAAAATAGCAAATATTGATGTATCCCGTAAGATTTTTTTTTTTGAAATTTGAAAATTTATCAAGCTATTTTTAAATAAGTTTAATAGGTTCTGTTCACGATGTGAATAATTGAAAAAATATTTTATATTATAAAAATATATTATAATTACGGTTAGTTTTTGTAATCCCATACGCTTTGTTTAAAAATAGACTTGGAAGTTCTCATTCCTGATTTTTGTTTTTAAGGAAGTTAAATTACGAAAATTTCAGAACTAATTAATTGTTTCCTATTTTATAATGTTTTAAGGCCATAATGGGGCATATAAACAATACATTAGGCCAAAATATTCAGCTACTGATACCTTTGTGACCTCAATATTTAATATTTAATCATTTCATTCCTTTGTGAAAGCAATATTTAATCACAATTGATTTAATTTTTACATAATTTAATATTTTTTTTTATTTTTGTGTATTATTCAGATAGTACAAGTTCATATATTCAGTCAAGGTATTTTAAGGCCAGCCCTGAACTGCTGAGTTTCAATAAGGCCGGGGCTCGCTTTACTATGTTAAGGGCGGATTCTGAGTTTTAAAGATTTTGCGGCTCATTATTTGTTTAATAAGGTTCACTCTTTAAGGTTGATGTTCACATACCCACCTAGGTATAGGAATAACAATTATCCGGATTCGCCTGTATCTGCAAATGTAGTGCGTTGAGTTACACTCAAAGATCCTTGAGCTCAAACCCAAAACGAATCTTGCGAATTCAATAGAATTGGAAACAAAGCTCACACAACTACAACCGCGGAACACATACCAGTACAGCGGATGAAGGTTAACATTGACGTTGCCAAAATTTCTGTTGCAGAGCTGCCAGCGTAAGCTATAACAACAACGACAGCATTTCGTTTGCGTTGCATGTTGGATATGCAGTCAGCGCCAACAAGTGCAGAAGGAACCCTCGCTCTCTCTCTCTCTCTCTGACTCTCTTTTTAGGAAAGGAATTCACAACCATTAACTACAAAAAAAACAAAAAATTGAAAGTGTCAAAGGGCAGTGGGGAGTGAGAACGCGAGAGGGTGTAACAAGCAGCGAAGGAATATTCAAAATAAATACAAGAAGAAAGCTACAAGCCAAGAATTGGTCTTACTGTCTGCAAATCGAAATGTTAATCGATACACTTGTGTAAAGTGTCTCCGAGCATGATGGATGTTCGAAGCTGTGTTCCTGTGTATCGTAGTATGTATGTATTTGCATCCCATTCTAAGACCTATTTCAATACAACAAAAACAACAAAGAACCAACAAAATGAGGAGAAGAAACGAACACAACACAACAGCGTTTGAATAAACGCACAAAAAGGAAGTAGCTTTTGCAAAAGGACGTGCCCAAAACAATAGAAGACTACCAACCAGCCAGCCAGCCAGCAATGGACAAGAGAATACCTAACAGGCAACCAAGCAAGCAGTTTAGAGCAAATAAATGCCAATACAAAACCCAAAAAACCGTTTAGCTTGAGGGCTTTCTAAAATCAAAAAAAAAAAAAATAAAAAAAAACTTAGGACAAAGCCGAGAGAATAACCAGGAGCCAACAACAGCCGCAGAAACCAGAGATAGCTGACAAGGCATTTGAATAAAACACATCATCTCCATCGCCAACAGTGCCAACGGTAGCAGCATCGACAAGAATTTTGGTTTATTTTATGGTGGCTCTCTGTCTTCTTTTTTCCCGGGCATTATTTTTTCCTTTCTTGGGTTTCGTGTTTTTTGTTGCTTCTTCTTTTTTTTTGCGGAATCTTAAGCAAATATTTAGCTGTATCCTTCATACACATGCAAAAATCCTTGCTCTTGGCCTTGATTTTTAGGATACATCAGCGGCGGCAGCGGCAGAACAACGTCACAACACTCACACACACACACGCACGCTCAAATGGCAAAATATTCCCGAAAAAGGAAATAAGGACACAATCTGAAGTATGTGCTTGAGAGCATGTTTAATTATTTCTTCTTGTTCTGTTTTGTTTAGTTTTAAGCTGTTGTTGTTGTTGTTGTTCGGGAATTTCTAGAGACCACAAAGCGTAGATTGTAATATGGGGGCGTTCGATGTTCAATTGAGGCATTCTTTGTTTTTGGTTTTGAAAGATGTACCTATAAGATATAAGATACATTGATCCATAGACCAATTTTCGGGTGGGATCAGAAATGCAGGGTGGATAATTTTAAAAGCCTATTTCAAATTAAACACCTTGTCCGAAAATGTCAAAGCCAATGAGACACTACGAAGATGTGTGGCGTGGAAATGGTAGTCCTGATGAGTTAAACTGCCAATAAACTGGCAAAGTCTAGGAAATTGCCAGAAGAATCCACCGAGTAGAGCCAGGCAAGAGCGCATCAAAGAAAAGTATTACGAACCCATCTCGGCTATCGTTAGTAGGATCTTCGCTACTAATTCATCTTTATTCTTCACCAGTACCAGATATTGCTATACAATTCCCGATCATCAAGATTGATTCGTTTAGCAATATAGAGTCAGAACTTCGCAGGCTGCCGAAGATTCAATCAGCCCAGAAACAAGATTGAAATTTGTGGAAGAACGTCAATTACATGTGTGGACGTGGAGTTTCGGAATAAGAACCCCAAGTCTAGTAGCCTGAAACAGATCATTCCCCATTGTGGGTTGATGCCTTCGGAACTGTTTAACTCTCCTCAAGTCATATAGATAATTACTTAGGCGTTGGCCCTTATCATTGAAGACATGTCCTTAAAACTACCTTCTTCCAAAACAAGACCCACACTGCATGTGCAGTTCGATTAGCTAATAATTTCTTATATGATCCAAAGTCCCAGCGAAAACATCCGTGCAAGCCACATAAATCAGCGATTAATTTATGAGTGAGAAGTTCCTTGTAATTGAAGATAATTCCGATTTATCAAATTCCTGCTTCGTAGACTCCAGTGAACCTGAGGACATAAATATACTTTGAACTTTCGTTTCAGTTCCAGTTTGGGACTCATCGCGATCATTCTAAGAAGGGCCCCAATTTTATAAGCCAGGGTGATCTTTCTGATCTAAAGAGATATGAGTCTTGAGAGTAGAAGGAGGCCTGGTTTTGGGACAAGAGCATTCATCTTAGTTCGTTTTGACCGCATATTAATGAAAGTGTGCAAAATATTCGGACAATGGACTTATCTGTGAACTATCATTCTGCGGGCTTCGGAAAGGTTTTCATTTATTTGTCATAGCTTCGGTTTCTGAAAAACCTTTTGTGTATCTTTTAGATACACATTCTCAGATATATAACTGAAATTTCTGAACCTCCCCCGGAGAGGATAGATTTTCTAGGCACCTTTTGACAAATTTCCATATTAATTTTGTGGTCCTGATTAAGACTTAAAATTATGCTAATGGTCGAAGAAAATATTAAATATATAACTTACAAGTCAGGAGTATCCAGACATCGTTAGGTGTATATTTACCTGAAAAAGAAATGGAAAATTT